AAAAAAAATTATCAAAATCGGTTCTGATTTAGCGACATAGTTGCATTAAATAGCTAGCTACAAAAAAAAATATAGTTGAATTGAGAACCTCCTTTCGAATGCCGCTTGAAAAGGGTTGGAACATCAACATTTTTATGTTCCGTATAAATGCCACATAAAAAAGGACAAGGAGTTTTTAATTTCTCTCCCGTCAAATAAGAGGCGTTAATTTTAACTCACCCAACGTTACTTTACACTAATTCTTTGTCATTATAAGAAACTTTATGCTTTCTGCCGCATAGCTGGCCATCGTAAATAATCTCCAGTTATGTTTGTTGGTTTAACGATATAGATTAAATTCTAATTTATTCTCTGGAATCTGTATCTTTGGAGGACGGTATTAGTAGGTTCCTTTATTTTTTAATGGTTTCAATAGTGTTCTATTTACAAAAAAAAAGTCGTTTAGGATTTATAGAATTAGAGTCCTCTGTAACGACAATGCATCAAGGATACCTTTCTGCTGCTGAATGTCATTAATTATGTACCATCAAATTTGCTTTCAGCTCGTTTACGATTCTAAATATATAGTATATAAAAAACACCAGAGGGAGACTTTGTACAAAAGTCGATTGCTTGGATACCTCTGTCCCATTCGTGTTTCAACCGTGAAGCAGTTGTGTTTGCATGGCTGTGTGTCGGTTTGAAGGGTGGGATATGGTGTGAATTTACTGGGTACAGAGGAATAACACCTGAGTCCTCAGGAATGGCAACACATGGGGGGTATCATGGGCGAAAAAGTATACTCTGTTATGTCCATGGTACTGCTCATGTCTATAGGCGACGGTTACCACTTTCCATCAGGTGGGCCGTCAGCTTGTTTGCCATTCTAAGTTGTATAAAAAAAAAAGAAAAACTAGTACTTGTGCCCTTCGTATATGTGAAGTTCTGAAGTAGGACATAAATAAATAATGAAATAAACCAATTCTACATACCGTATCAAGATAAAATATACAGCAAAATTTAAATTACATTTTCAAGAATTATAACGGTGAAAACTGCATCTAATTTGATTTCAGTAGTTTTATATCATTCCAGAAGATACTTACAGACAGACAGAATTTACAAAAAGTATTGTCTTGTCACCTATTGGTTTTATTAAGATCTTTTATATGTATGTTCTTCTTAAATATCTCCCATGTGATGAACAATTTTAGTGTAATAATAAGAGCTTTAAATAAGTATAAAAACATATAAACATAAAAGGGAATTACTTCTGAAGTTGTGTGTTAATACATATGCACTGTCTAATAACTATAGTTTAGGTATAGTTTCATATATTTTTAATTACGAATGTTTAAAACACTTTTCTTTTACATAACATACTTAACCTGCCAGCATGCATTAGTTTCAATTATTATTATCATGTTTACGAAATAAATACTATAATGAAGATAAGACCCGAAACGTTAATTACTGACAAATTGGTCGTACGAAGAAAAAATATGGCGTTTGATAAAAGTTTTATCTTATTTCGAGTATTTAACGCTTCGAGGCAGTAGGTAATTACTAAAAGCTATAATCAAGTTTTTTTGATGTTGGATTTTAAACCGTAGCACGATTGTCGTTGAGTTTTAATTATTTCATATAAATAACTAAGCGAGTGTCATGATTTTGCATTGCCCGTAAATTTTAACCACAGTATTTTTGTTATAATTTATATTAATTATCTTTTTCTTGGAATAATTATAAAAATTCCCATTACATGTATAGAGGCAACTATATACTTGCTTTTTAACTTTATTTTTTGTCAGAGTACATTTATTTTAAAATTTTCTAAAAATGTAGCATAATTGCAAAACTTTAGAAATAAATAAATAGATAGATAGATAGATATTCTTTATTATTTCTTTTAAAAGATTACAATAGTAAACTTATTATAGATATAAACAATTACAAGAAATAATCACAATGTGAAAAAATGGGCTACCTTATCGCTAAAAGCGATGTCTTCCAGGTAACCTTTGGGTAGAGAGGAGTGTAAGATTAGGTGAAATATGCAGTCAATAGGCAAGCCCAAAAGTAGGTTCATCAAAAAAGGGATAAAGAGATTTCATTAAGGTTGGTAACGCGAATAATGGCCTTAGCTTTGCAGATATTCAGAAGCTACGGTAACCGCTTACCATCAGGTGGGTCGTATGCTTGTTTGCCCCCCCTCAGTGGTATAAAAGAGTCCCCCTTGTGCCTACAAATATTTTCTCCTTTATACACCAGGTGCATAAGAGTGAAATTGATAATAAATAATAAATAAAGTCAATTTTATTTTCACTTGTTATTCATATTACTGCTACCTCCTAATGAAATGTTAGAATGTGTAAGTAGTCTGTCACCGAACTAAGTAACTATAACTAATTAGTTGTGTAATTTTTATTACATACATTATTAAGATTAGATTTTTTATGAAACTTATATAAAAAAATTCAATTCTTGTCCTGGTCAATTTTACATCTACATATAAAGAAAGCTATTTGCGACTTGGTATAGGATATGTAGGATAGATATTTCTTTCAATTTATTTCTTTCCTGCACTGATATATTACCGCCTACTTATTTCTCGGTTTTTCCAATAGTTATCTGGTAGAGAACACCGTCCGGTATTAAGCCCGTCAAATGTACATCTAGAGAATCAAATGCACATGTAGAACTTCACGGTACATTAAAGTTTAATTAAATAAATAAAAAATAGATTTATCAAGCCAATTTTTTTAGCCACATCTTACAACATTTTGGGACAAGGAGTGGTGTCATGATGTATTCTTTCTGTGTCACCATACGGACTAATTAAGTATACACGTAGTAAAATTCATTTTACTTCGCAAAAAATAACAGCGATTTAACACATAACATTACAGATAAAATACATAAACGACACAGCCGTATTAGTTGCAAAAGTAATATCAAAATCGGACTCAGAAATGGCGATGCACGCAAATTCTGGTCACATTACATAAAATATACAAAAAATAGTGTGATTAGAAAGTATCTGAAAGTCGATATAGTGATGAAGATTGAAAAGGGAATGTTGCATTTGTTTGGCCATTTGGGGAGGATGGATAGAGGAAAAATTACGAAAAAGATTTATAGAGCATGAATGAATGGAGATATCAGAAAGGGTCGCCTTAGACAGACGTATGTCGACCAATTCGGTGACATGCTGAAGAAGGGCCAAATTAAAATTATGCGTACCCGGCGAACGCGTATTTAAATGGATTGATGACTGTAGTAGAAGCGAAAGAGGTTTTTTTTTTACAACACAGGCGGCAAACGAGCATGCGGCTCATTGGTGGTAAGTGACTACCACCGCCCATGATCACCCACAACACTAAAGGTATGGCAGGCGTGCTGCCGGCCTTTTAAAAAGGAATATGCTCTTTTCTTGAAGGTTATGTTGTCCTATCGGTTCGGAAATATTGCTGCTGGAAGTTGATTTCAAAGAGTGGTTGTGCGTGGAAGAAAGTGCCTTGAAAAACGCACGGTAGAGGTCTATTTTTATCGGAGCATTTGGCGTTCCATTGTTTCTGCCTACAGATAGGCGTGACGGATGTGTATGTATGTATGGACCATTATGGTTGTAATACAATTAGGGTCGGACCAATAGGTCCTTATTTAAATAATTTTTAATGATCCTAATTCTAAGTACATATTTGCAAATAAAATTTCTCGTTTAATATCATACACACATACACACACACTTATATATGCATGAAATACCAAATTTCTCTTTTCTGAAGTCGGAAAAAGAATAAATAAAATATCATTGCAATAGCATACCAAGTCGTATACGTAATAAATACCAGGGCGACTCAGTTGTGCCATACCTACCAATATATTTACTTTATCTTGTTCAATACTCTTAAATACAAATTAATACAACCAATGGCCCGGTCCTTAATGGCGGCTCAGACTGTTTATTTTACACCTCGAACTGGACAAGACGGTTTATTTTTAATTTTTTTTCTTTTTCTTATTGGTTTTCGAATACCGAGACGCTTTTAGCGCCTTCTAAAATGGGACACCACTAGATGTTTCGTAGAAGAGCTTGCTAATTGAAATCGCATTTTTGTTTTACTTACCTATAATAGGTAATGTCGAAATTTTGGTATAATCAATTTTGTAATGTAAATTATTACTTTGGAAGAGGGATGAGGATTTTTAAGTAACGGGAACTTATGGTCTTATAGAGTATAATAGATCCAAGACCTTATAGTGTTTATGATAACAAGGTGTCGGCTGTTTTGCAAGGTGTATGCAACTTAGAACTTCACACAACCTGACGAAAAGTGTGATCTCGGCGCGGAATGGGCCAACACCTTCTTTTCTCGTGAATGTTGTTAGAAGCGAATAATAAACTATAATTGCGATTGATAACCTGCTTTAATTTATTTTATATTAATTACCTGCTTTAATTTATTTTATATTATATTAATTAAATTAAATTTAAAGATTTGGAATAATGTGGCAATAATCTTAAAATGTAGTCGTTATTACCCCGTTGCATAACCAAGCCGATACATTGTCCAAATTATACAACTTTCTATAAATTTTTATTACATGGCATACCTTCATTACTAAAGCGTATCTAGAACTTAAAATGTCTCAACAATCCCATTCAATTAGTACCAACCCAGCAATGGCTCGTTATTTAGAAAAGTCCGTTGGCTATCGATACTGTATCGACATTAATATTCGAAAAATATTGTCAAAGCACCTCACTGGCCGATAAAAATGTCAGGCCACACACAGCAGGTCATTAGACACCTCCCAGAGGAAAATAAATTAAAGAAAACGAGAAATCTCGTCCGCTATCCTTATTCTGTATGTATAACGTGCGTCGTACACGATCTAAAGACTGGACTTGTATTCATTACTGCATTTATAAAGACTGCGTTTTATTTCCCGATAATCGACGAGTAATGGTTATGGAATATTATTATAATTTCTGTGTGTTGATTACAGAATAAGGATGGGAGTTCGGATCAATTAAATGCCATAAGATACAAGCAGTATACATCAGTATGAACGCAAAATCCAAGAAATAATGAGTAAGGCTCTAGTTTATGTTGTAAAAAGAGATACAAGTGTCTTTTTACACTCATCCAATTTGTGAAACACTGTTTTAATTGTTAATAAAAATGTTTCCTTAAATTATATATTATTATAAATTTACAATTTGATAATAACTAAAAAATAATAATTTGAATATGTTAATCTAATTATCGTTTTAAAATACTTTTTTATTTTTTATTTATAGGCCGTCGATAGATGCGTGGGACTCACAGCCATGTCTATGGAAGAGATTTATTAATTCCAAGTTTAAAGTATTTAATACCATCCGTAACTTATACAGTATTAAGGTAAATAAATACAATACTTCTATTGTAATATCGTGATATGATAAAAATTCTAAATACTAATAAATATCAATAAGAAATTTTAACATTTTTTCACTAATTAAATTAACAAATTAACGTTTATCGGTTACAACCAATACATTGACCCTTACTATTTGTTTTCACACAATACCCGCACCAACATTTGTACGGTTTAATGAGAAACAAGCTGTACAATTTTACTGCTGTCCTCGAATTCTTAGAATATCAATGTTCGTTCATTATTCTAACCATCGCGATGAATAATTAAAAATCTATTCAGTATGCGTAAAAGGAGTCGTCTATCCGTTCACCTGATGCTTTTGTTGCCAATAAAAAGTGTTTATTATCACTATTGCTATAAAAACAACGATTCCAATGCTGGTGAGCATGGAAAAAATATAAAACCGCACCAGTTGGTAATCGGCAAGCACTAAAAAAAGGTTTTTATTGTTAACATGTCACTTAATTAGTGCTTTTAGAACGTGCATTGAAAGTGCACCCTCCTATGAGTGTTTCTAATAGGTGCAATAACCTTATAAAATGATAATAAACACTCCAATAGTGTTAACATAGTAACACTATCAATGCGTAGACGTTCTATCTATATTGCAAAATATATGGGCAGGTCCATTTTGTTTAAGTAATGTAGTAGTAGTTTTATTTTGTTTGGCAAAATTAATGGTCCTTAAATAATATATTATAGCATATTTTCTGAGATCGATAGAGTTGTTTATTCTACATGTAAACCAGGTGGGTTGTCTTCTTGTACGCAAACTAATACAGTGTGGTAGTACGAATAATAATTACATAATTTAAAAGCACCTTTTAAAAAAAAATATTGTACGTAGACCATCTGTCAGTCAAAGATACACATCGCGACATATCAAACGAGCCTAAACTTAATGAGATTACATTGTTTTATCGCAAAGCTTCTAAAAGTTCTACGGCCGCTTTTGACCTCGTCGTCAGAGCATATCTAATGTCACATTTTTGGTGTATTTAAAAAACATTTGAAAATACAAATCTTTGAAAAATACAAATATGAATAGGAAAATATCTACACCATTTTAATTTTTTTAATGGATGATAATAAAATGGTATGAAATCTCTCCAGCAGCGCCACTCTTAAAACATCACCAAAAGCCAAGGTGCAGTTGCTAATCCGCCTGACAAGCGTGGCAACTACTCGCAAAAATCCCCTTATGAGGAAGGCTTGTATTCAACAGTAGACAGTTAATGGTTGACACAATAAACAACATATCCCGCTTGCACTATCGGTTTACATTGGTGGGATACTGGTAAGGGGTAAAAGATAAGGATGAAGGAAGAATAAGTTGACTGATCTACCGTTTAATTAACTTATTATAATGTGATTAGAAATTAACAACGATAGTTTCTAAGGCGAATCAATTGGAGGTCTACCTAACAAGGTATATTACTAGACAGACGCTAGTCCTGATTGCTAACAATTCTTTCCCCCTTATACCACAGCACTATATGGCCTATAGCTATACAGCATATATGGTCCATTAGTCTATACAGGGGCAGGGCATATTAGTCCTTCGGAATTAATGAATCTGTCATATGACCCCGACAGAATGAGCCACCCCTCTTTTTGACGATGACGAATAAATTATCCATTTTCTAAAAAGTATCGTTGTCGCGTTTTTATATTATAATAAAAGAAAAAAAAAATACAATAAGATAATACAAGTGTGCCAAAATTGAAACATGAAGATGACACAAAATTAGCATCACTATAACATTTTCATAAACTTTTGTAAATGACAAACACTAGTTATTTATTCACATTACCATAAATATTTCATAGAAGAAAAAAATATTTGACAATATAGTGTAATACCATTGTATGCTGTCACTGTATTCGGAACATTGTTTTCAATTGATTTCTACGCGATTATTGTATCGTCTATAAAAAAAAATATATTAAATTGTAGTAACGTCGATTACGTTTAGTAAACAAATAGTAGTCGCTTTGTTTTCATAGTAACCCGTTAATTTACGACAGATCGCGCACACTACACGCAACTATAAATCAAGATGAATTACAACAATGATCGGATCTGGCATTCGATGTTTAATCCCGCATTTATTATATTGTACAAAGTGGTACTGTCGCCTCCACCGGCGAAAATGGGTCGCAGTATAACATTTCATTATTGCATCTAGAATTTGTAATTTACATTTTGCGTTTTACGACTCACTCTATAACTGCGCTCATTAACCTTTTCGTACTGCATACGAACGATTAGTGACTAGAACAAACGATCTATCGAAATAAATTCAATACAAAATATATTACGGATTTATTGTTATAGAACTTTTTCTATTCTTGTTTTACACCTACTTACTAGTTAATAGTTCAATGATCCTATAAAGACAGTTTATAAAAATATTTTAAAAAAGAAAATTATATACTCCATTGTTTTGTGGATATATTTTCTTTTAATTAAATATTTTTAGATATTTATATTTTTTATGTAATATTAAAAATTATGTGAAACTTGTTAATTTTTCCTTTTAATTAATAACTGAATAAATTATTATTTTCTGTTTAATATTAATTCATTGTTACTATTTTTATATATAAATAAATATATAATATTCATTTTTTTATTTGCATAATAAAATATATTCCATCTTGCTAATTTTAAATTTTACCCGGAATTTTAGTATTTGTACGTATCTCTCAAGTGCCTACCTATTGATCACGATTATGCTTTGTATTCCAAGAAACAAAAACCTGCGTCGAACGAAAGGAGCAATTTAATAACAAGACACTATTTATCTAAGATTAAATTCAATAATTCATAAATACTGAAGTTGACAAGCTGTATCCAAACAAGCTCAATTTACATTATATAAATATACAATTAACATGAATTGACACCCGCCTACATTTAAAATTTAGTTCTAACTCTAAACCGTTAAACAATAGTCATTAATATAGAATGTGGTCTAGTAATCTAGTACAAACGATCATATTACCCTGATTAGAAAGTGCTACCAGGGTGCCCCAGTTCTCTATACAAATTGACATCTCATTAATTATTCCGGATTGTCGTTAACCGACCGTTTTGAATGGGCCATTGGTGTAAACAACGGACCTGATGTTCTTAGAACAATACAATTGGGAACTAAATACTAATGAGTCCGATTCTGGTCAATTGACGCAATGCATTTTAAGATGTGAACGTGTTTGAATGGCATATTGCATATTGAGACATTGTTGATAAATTTAGCTGTTAGTGGTTTAACTATATATTTAACTTCTAGTTTTCATCCATGATCCGGAGCCTGAAGGATATTCAAAATAATGTATGTAAAAAATACAATTATTGATTAAAAAGTTAAGCTACTAAAAAGGAACAAATAAACAAATATATTAATAAAGATGCAACAAAAATAAATTATTTATATTTAGTCAAACAACTACGAATTAAATATATGAGTAAAACAGATAGAAATAATTATAATTCAATATGATTCACAATATTTATTATTCAATAGACTTCGTAATTTTTTATATTATCTGACTAATGATTAAGGAAAGAGAAGTCTATTGTTTTATTGGTTGCTTATTTTGGTTGGTAACTAACAAAATCATTATTGTTGATGGTTCATTATTAAATATTATTATTATAATATTTTGGAAAATATATCTCTATTCATTTTTTTTTTGTAACTATGATTAAGCAAGGATACAATACCCCTGGCGATAATTGGTTACTAATTGTCGACTCTAAAATTGTTTGCAGACTTTTTAGAAGAATTCATTTTTATTGTCTTCTGCAAAAAAACATCAATAGGCATCTCTTTTTGTAACTGGAACATTTGCTAGAGAAATTTTATAAACCGAGATGTATGCGACTACGTTTTTAGAAACAAAAAAGTTTTTTCAAGAGTACGGATTCTTTAAAAAACAGAAATAATTAAAGAAATTTTTTCCACAAAAATTTCGACAGCAATTGTGACAAAACTGAACCCATCTTGATAAAATTTCTATGGCACCAATCTGTAAGTATATTCTTTTAGATAAAAAAGAATTTTTCAAACCAGTTTGCAACTAATGGAGTTATGAAGTAACAAACATAAAAAAAAATACAGTCGAATTGAGAATCTCCTTTCTTTTATAAAATCAGTTAAAATGAGGTTTTTTCGGAGATGGCAACGCACTTGTAGTGCTCCTTGTAGATGTCGCTTACCATCGCTTACCATCAGGTGGGTCGTATGCCACCTCAGTGGTATAAAAAACTAATTAGAGTCTCAAGATATGACGAAGCACTTCCTATCGATTGTCGATGGTGAGTAAGGCAATGGTAAAACATATCTACAGACTTCAAGCCAAATAAATAATTATTCAGATCACATGCCACTACGCGATAGAACTTGCAGAGTGAGGCAAATTCCTTCTTCAGACTTATGGTCTCGGCAGCACCTGTGCGAGGTCGTAGACAATTACTGTCATTAAGAATATTTTTTAATGAATTTAGAATAGCAAACAAACTCACGGCCCACCTGATGGAAAGTGGTAACCGTCGCCTATAAACATGAGCAGTACTATGGACAACAGAGTATAATGTTTCGCCCATGATACTCCCCCCCCCCCCCCATGCGTTGCCATTTCTGAGAGCTCAGGTTTTTATTCCTCTCTACCCTGACTTAATATTAAACTTCTGAATATTTAGAATTCCTGAATGAAATATTTTTCTTTTAAGCAATTTAAAATGGCAATCAAGCAGAATGCCCACGGCCAACGTGGTAACCATATAGTTGAAATCAAAGTATTCTGCAGGTATACCTCCTTATAAGTTTCGGAGATAAATGACAACATGAAAGCAAAACTCCACGTGGCATTGAAATAATGATTTGTAAACAAAAGTCTTTATTGCAGCATTAAGTATTGTTAGAATTTTTTTTATTACAGCCGTTAACCGTTGTCCACTGCTGGACATAAGTCTTCCCCATAAGATAATTTTGTCAGTAGTTGCCACGCTTGGCAGGCGGGTTGGCAACCGTAGTTAGGCTTTTAGAGGTGTTTTAAGAGGGCCAGGCTGCTGCCCATCCCTCGCCCTCCCTTAGTCGCCTTTTACGACACCCACGGGAAAGGAAGGGGTGGCCCATCCTATGTTGGGGCACACACGGAATATTGTTAATATTGTTTGTATTGCCTTATCCTATTGTGCAAACTGTGCCAGAAAAAGAATAGTAAAGTAAAAGACTAATTACAATATCCAATAATTGAATCCAAGCTTCAAATATATAACACATTGCAGTTTTATAATATTAAACTGTATCCTAAATTCTACCTTGCACAAATCTACCATAACATATTATATATAGATCTGATATAATCTTTAATGCTTAGCATATTTAATTAAAAATATTATTTCGATAAATTTTACCCATGTATTTTTTCAGTAATTTTGTCATTAATTAGATTTAATCATCTATTAATCTTTTCGACGTCAATAAAAGACATATCTACCATCCACCTCCAAACAGAAAGTAGGCATGAACCAAACCAACTTGCACATACCTGCAAGCTTACGTCACCAGTACCTACGTGTTTTACCGCTAACAAACATACATTAATATGGAAAGCTCGCTCCGTCAATGTGCCAGCCAACGCTGCCCCCACGAAGATGGCTATTGTCTTTTCAAAACGTGACTCCAAATGTTAATTGGACTATTAAAAGCCGAATGCGGGTCATTTCGACCATTACCAGTGGAGCCCTTTTGAATATGTATAATAATATTATTAGATAAAGTGGTCGCTCAATTTGTGTAAGGTTTCTAATGAGGTTTTGCGCTTTCTTGTCACAGATGGCGCTAGTGCGTTGAATGCGCAAGCGTTCAGCCGGATGTGCGAAATGGATTGTGCGCGACCCGTTGAAGAATTCAATATTAACGCCCTTGGTGTGGGAGAACTGATATTAATCGTTGTATGATTTACATATAGGTTACTGGAATGCTTCGCTCGTGTGTACAAGTGAGGTGCACAAGTGAATTACTAACTTTTATTTAACACTAGTTTATACCCGCGACTTTATCGCGTGGCCGCGATATTCTTATGTACAAAAACCGGGATAAAAAACTGGCAATCCTCCACCTATCATAATACGTATGTACTAATTTTCATGATAATAGGTTCAACTGTTAAGACACTAAGAAGTGACAAACCATAAAATTAGGAGTAAGATTTTTCCCGTATGTTGGTAGAAGAAGAATACTATTTATTTTCATTTTTATGATTTTTGTAAGAGACTAAGGACACAGAACACAAATTACCTCGATATATGGTTTATTTCTTTTTTTTTTAACTTTATCTGACCCAAGATATTATTTTATTATATACCTATATTGTACTAGCACAAGTAATTGTTTTGTTCCCTTAATAGTTATATTGTACATTTAATCCATCATCACACAAAATGATATATTTTCTTATTACATAGACCTAAATTTATTATGTACCTCAATTTATTTTTTTTATTTTAATATTATCAAATATGTAAATAATTATAAACAAGGCTATTTCTCAATTGTTAAAGGTTTATTAGTTATCAGAAGGCAATTTTTTCCAACCAATTAATAATTTAGAATTCCAAAATGCAGGGTTATGTATTAAAAGTATTTTCAAATACAAGAATATTACTGGTCTACTACAGTTTTGGGTATTTAGTTCAAAGAACTGAGTTCAAGAGTGTCTCTGGAGAAGTAATAGATTTGCATATCATTTGGCTCATTACATACAAGTTTCTTATCCGTAAAGAGCTTTGTTGGTTTAATGCCAACTATAAAACTAGATCTACATATATCTATGTAGTTTTATTGTTTTGAGGAGTGTTCTTAAATATTTTTTCTTAATTGCTTTAACCTCCACTCCTTAACGAGGCTTACCTGTAACTTTAGTATTTTTCACTTTGATATTATTATTTAATATTACAACAGTGTTGTATACATGTTGTGTATATTTTATTTAAAATACAGATATTCAGCTAGGAGAAAAGATGGACGATGGACCAAAGCCGGGATAGACTAATGCCCTACAGATAGACAAAAGACAGTCATTAGACTACCAACGCGATGATCGGATGACATAATGTGTATAGCGGTCGAACAGTGAATGAGGTTAGTACAGGACCATTACAAGTGGCGCTACAAAAACGAGGCCTGTGCACAGCAGTGGGTAAATTTTGTTTAAATATAAACAAATATACCTCAAATCCATTCAAGTGTTTATATACATATATTAAAATGATTTACAAATTTTTAAATATATTAAAAATCTTATTATCTATTTATTATCTTGGCAATATTAGAGCTACTAATGTATATTGTATGCAGATCGTTAATAATTTGTGAATTGTTTTCAAGGCTAGGTTTTTTCTCATTTCTCTTACTCAAATAATTAATTACAGTATTACAAATAATTAATCTTAATCTCAATTTAATAAATCACCTTGTAGATAATAAATTATTCGACGTGTCAACATTGACAAATTAATAATACAACATATATTACATTTTTAGTTACCTTTTTTTTTCTTATATTTTCATTATTCTTTACACAGAAAATATATATATATATATATATATATATATATATTTAAACTATTGTTAAATATGTACTGTTATGACACTTGATCAAAATTTAAAAATCGTTTAACTTTAAACAGACAATGAATAACCCATGTTTTCGAGTACGCTATCGAATTTTGTAATTGAGGCAAAATGTATCAGGTTATTTATTATTACACCTTAACACTAAATAATAGTATGAGTAACACCCAAAAAATCCGTTCCAAGTAATTACGTGATATTGCAAACAAAATAAAAGTCGTTTCCTTCTTGAATGACAATTAGAGTACTCAAAACTCCGCGAATGTTGTGAAAAAATAACAATGCTCAGGTAGTGTGTAAAGTAACGTCCTGTATAAAATGAGTACAGTGAGCCATCTGTCAACGGGTGCATGGGAGTAGCATATTTTATAATTATACAAGAGCATACTCGGAATAACAATGTTTGATTGGCTCGATCGCGCGAATGTACCACGATGCGACTAGAATGCAGAATGCGTGCGCCTCGAAAAATAACCCCACGATCAAGATTTCTTGGCCGCGATCTAGAAACAGGTGCTCGACACTGTCTACGTGTGATTGATATAAACAATTGATTTTAATTCTATATATAGATTTATTGTCTCCATACTAGGAAAATAAATGGTGTGAAACGGACTCGATTTATCATTAATGATCTGTTAATTTAAAATATGGTAGCAATTAGTATCTATACAACGAATAACCATTCTTGATAATGACAAACATTTATAATTTTTAAGATAAAATGCTTAATTTCGTAATTAAGGCAACACGTGTTGTCTTCTTGATTTAGTATCGAATTATGTAAATCAAAGTCGACGATGTGGTCAACGCAAATGATATGTATTTAAAAAACTTATTTTATAAAATGATAATGATTAATTAACTAATTAATAAAAATCGTAAAATTTATTACAAAATTACAACTGAGATTTGGTTATCAAAAAAAGGAAATTTGTATTGTATACATATAAAAAAATTAAGATGAAAAAGTTGAGATTCAATGATTAAATAAAGTGCTAGTACAAATTATATGATTTATATTAAATGATATATTACATTGATCAACTGGTTAAGTTTCTTTTCAGAGAAAAAATGACTTAAAGAAGACAAAATATATTATTTAAGAAAAATATATATAGGTAGCTTTAAAATATTGATTAAATGTGACCTTTGAAATAATTCAATATTAAATTAACATTTGCTTAAATAATTTTAAGGTAAAATAATTATATACCATAAATAGAGTTTTAAAACAATCCGCCAACTTTCTAAAAAAAGACAATTCTATTTCATTTTTTCACATAACTGATTATATAAAACTTACGTATAAATAAGTATTGAGTTATTACAAGTACTCACAAGAACCTGTAATAGATGATAATAGATCGCTCAAATAGGCAGCTATTATGAAAGAAAAGCAAAGCAGTACGCGATTCGAATTATAATTCAGCTCATGAAAACATTGGATCACTTAAAGGCATAGCGGTACATTAAAGACGGCACCCGTGCCAAATATGCGCGCCCTAACAATTTGCCCCCCATATATGGAGCATAAAGTAAGACCGAGGGTCTAGTAAAAACCTCACAACGGTTATGTTTTATCTTTCTTTAATTCTAGACAGTCTTCTCGGCTTATCTAAATCGTTTCATTTGCTTGATGCGCAAAATGTTAGATTAATCAGAGGATTTTATGGTAAAGAAAATTAAATTAAATCTTTATGGAGATCGAAAATGCTTCAAATAACCTGGAAAGTAAGACGGCGGTCTTTAATGTCTTTGTTAAATTTAAATTGGGTACTTAAATATCTCTAAAGTAGATTGCATTGTTTTTGATGATAAGTAATATAATTTTCTTTTAATATAAACGACTTTGCTAGTTTATGAATAATTTTAATAAATTTATTTTTGATATTGTAATAAAATCATCAATATTCTAAACACGTTTTTCTTTGTCTTTATTGTTCAGTTATTATAAAAACGATTATGATATAGATGACGTCTTGAAATTTAAGTAGTTAAGGATTACATATCGGTACTAAACACATTGTATATTGGTGTAATTATTATAAATTATGAAATTAGTAATAATATTAAATAACTTAATATGTAAGTAGATTCCACCATTTTTAATGTATTTTTTAATACATTTTTGCGAAAATTATATAAAAGAAATATAATTAAACATCTGAATAAATTATACTACATAAATGCAAATAGAACAACCAACGTAACGGTCCTATCTAAATTACTAATCACAATCAGATCTAACAAGTGCAGAGAAATTGTAACGACACACAAAAACTAGATTCAAGTTCTGCATAATCGTTACACGCCGAATTGAGAGCGGGGTGTTGCAAATTTTGTTACGAGCCTCATCCAGTTCTAACAATCAAGTTCCATCCGCGGCATCACAGAGCTAAGCGGTACTTTTATTCCATCTAAGATATACATCACAAACGTGAGTGTCGTCCGTAAGTACATGGATATATCTATGAATGTCTTTATTACTGTGTTTTTAGTCATTTATAAGATTTTCTCATAATGATTGTCCCAAAAACGAGTGTTTGTGCCGTCAAAAGCCTTTGTCTAATCGCTCATGACTAGCTCGTGGTGTTCTTACAACTGGTTGTTAGCGGATATCACGGACTCTATGTTTGTAACGACACGTCATGTTCAAAATATATTTACAATTAGGTAAATACCTATTATATTTTGTAATAATAATTGTTACCTTTTACAATAATTCGCTCGTCTCCTGCCTAACTTGGTTTTCTAATATGCTCAGCGAAATATAGATTCAAATGTCGATATAGTCGTAAACATATAATTTTATTGTTTATTATTATTATTAATTTACTATACATAGAAAAAGCTTCAAATTACTCAGCGAGCTATGGAGAGGGTCATGTTCGGAGTCTCTTTGCATGATAGAATCCGAAACGAGAATATCCGCAAAAGAACCAAAGTAACCCACATAGCCCGAAGGATAAGCAAGTTGAAGTGGCAATGGGCTGGTCGCTTAGCTCGAAGCACCGTCAACTAATGGGGAAGAAAGGTTTTTGAGTGGCGACCCCATACGAGCAAAGCAGTGTAGGACTCCAACTAGATACAGTGACGACCTTAAATTTTTTGCAGGGAGTCAGTGTATGCAGATGGCTCGGGACCTTTCCTTATGGCAGTCTATGGGGAAGGCCTATGTCCAGCAGTGAACGGATAAAGGCTGAAATGATGATGATTCACTGCTAAACACTTTCATTAGAACAAAATGTTTCATGAGTTTTTTTTTAATTATCCGTTATTCCATTTCTTTTATTTCAT